TAAAAATTATATGTACTGTATAACACTGTCTCTTATACACATCTAGATGTGTATAAGAGACAGGTTGTATATCAACAATTTTTTTCTTCCAGAGCTTGGCTTCAATTTTTTTTTCATGGGAAGCAGAAAATAAAAGCCTTTAAAAAATTCTAAGGAAAATGTGTTTCCTTCTTAACTGAGGAAAGATTCAAATTTACTTACAGGTTGACTGATAATCATTGGTGTAGTGTCTCAAACAAGTGTAATTATATTTTAAACCAAATGATTTTGACAGGCATTGCGTCATTTTGTGCGTCTCTCGTTAATGAGTTTCTGAAAGTTCATTTAATCTATTAAGCATGTCACTATAGTGTCAAAGATATGATTGAAATGCTTACAATTATTAGTTTCGAATTTGTCAACAAAATATTTGGAAAGTATGATTCTAATAAATTGTTAAAAGCAACAGTTATACAAATGAGATTATCAAATATCCTAGGATTAATAAATATATAAAATAAAGAGTGTTTTATATTTTGATGGGATAATTCATGGGTAAACTTCTTCAGTTCTAATCCCTAGATTATGATGGTCAAGAATGCTGGGTGTTGGTTTTCTTCTCATTCAACATGTCTGACGAACAAACCCAAAATTTGACTTGCCAATTCCAAGTCGTTTAGAAGTTACGGCTATTTGAAATTTTAAGGTCATACCCCTTTTTAGCTATCAATTATGACATATTTGTAAATTACCCTTTACACAGTTTACCAATGTGGTAGTCACATCATATTTATAAATGACTTAAAAATGTGACATCAGGGCAAACAATATAGATCGATAGATACCAATCAGCTTCATGGTTTAGGTACAGTATTTATTAAACCATATCGTAACCATTTTCACAAAGAGACACAAACTTTAATTTCGACGAAATTAATGTTTTAAGAAAAACATGTTTGAGGTGGACTACTTCACAAATCCATAAATTTCACTATCAAGATTTTGAATATTTTTTTTACATATATTTAAAGATAAAAGCATTAAACAATTCAAATGTTCAATAGCATTAAACAATTCAAATGTTCAATTTATTTTTCTTAACTTTAATTAACCTGTTAATTAGCGTAAAAAGTTTGTGTCTGTTCGTGAAAACTATCAGAACAAACATACAGAGTGAAGTTTGTGTGAAAACAGTACGCACTCTATGCGCTCCTGTTGTTAAGAAGACACAAACTTGCACAAACTATCTTAACCTATGTTTAACCATTGTGTAGTCAAGGGTGAAAACAAGCCTACAAACTCGGCTTATCTTGCTTAAATATCATTATGTTTTTACTAATAATTCCACAATTGATGCACGTGTATAGACCTATTCCAAGTTATGCTGCAAGAAGTGTACCGCTACAGTATGCCTAGGTAAGGTAGGGAAATCTAATCTTTACATCTAGCCCTAACCAAGCTAGGCCTTACCTAGCCACGCTGCACGTGCGTCTTTTGTTAACCAACTGAAAGTTTCTGTTATTCATGAAAACAAAAAAAATCCATTTTCTCAGTTTGTGCATTATAGCTAATTAGCTAATTAGCTAATAGTCTAGTTGCACTCTTAAAAATTAGGTGAAAAGGTAAAGTTTGGTGTACATAATCAAAATGTCAAAAAAATTGAAAAATTTTATTTTTGAAGTTTGTGCCTCCTCGTGGTGTCGATGGCGATATATCTGACTTTATACTGTAGTAGGTCTGGTATGCCTGTTTTCGTGTGTTGTGTCTGCTATTCGTCTTTATATCAATGTTTAACTGTTTACAGTAGGTCTAAAGAATTTTATTCATATATTTATGTAACTAAAAATTATATGTACTGTATAACATGCAACTATACTTACTGCGTATGTGGTCTATGGTGTTAGTGAGCTTTCGCATCAACGACGGACGGACTCAAGGACAGTAATCTGACATGAAAATCGATCTGCGCATGCACGACCCCCGCAGCTTCTCGTTCTTAGCAAAATCACGAACTGTTTTTGGCTAATTTATTGCCCGTGGAGAATCATGAACGACTAACTCAAGCAACCAATCAGCGCTCTTTAGGGATACCACTCTAGTTCTTCAATTGCAAAACTGCGAATGATAAACTGCAGACGAGTGTCAAGGACGCTCACAGTTCATTGCTTTTATTCTTAGAGTGCATCCGTGCTGCATTTGCGAAATCTCACTATTGTTTCTGCTGTAGGACGTCCTGTCTTCTGCTTGTTGTGATTTCCATATTAGAATTCAGTACTCGGTTCTCATTGAACAGTCAGTAGCTCTTGTTGAACATTAGATCTTTAATTGATACATTGATTTCTGTATTCTTAATATTTCAATTTTAGTTACAACTTAAGCCATCAAGTGTGCTAAGAACTTTATTTTCTCTAAATTGGCTGCATGCTAGTTAGTATTTGCATCCCTTTGTAAGTATTTTTTGATGTATCAAAATATAAAAATGATTTATCAATAATCAAAGAAATATTTACTATATTGTAAAGAAAATGGTACGAAAGCAAAGTGCAACTAAATATTTACCAGTTGAGAAAAATATTGCATTTGTGGTATAGATAAATACGTCATGGTGAACCACAATCTTACAGTAAGAGAACAGACTTAATCCTTTAGAAATCTGGTTAAGTCGTCTTCTATTCCGTTTTAATGCCAGTAATATCCATCTTAAATCAACCATGATCAACTCCCCTCTTGGAGATCTACTTACAAGCGTCATCCCATTCTATCATCCGTATATTGATTGATTCTTAATTAATGTACATAAGATTGAAGCATCATACACAAGTTGTTTCATTATCAAAATATTTTCTCTCCACCTGCTATTCAATTAAAGTAAAATAATACCCTGAAATTCAAAGATAATAATTATATATTTATAATAATTGTTAACATTGTTAAGATCTCTCGATTGGTTTAAATTTGGTTACAAGTTTACTCATTAGTTTTACAGATATACTGTTGGCCATAAAATCTAGGAAAAACTACAAAACATTCACAATATAACATCGTCATTTAAATGATCATATAAGTTATCAACTTCCCCTATAAATCTGTCGCTGACTTATGCCTACAAACTTCTTTTAAATTCTCTTTCAATATACACACAAATTGCTCAGTAACTCTGATTGATCAATTAATCAAATCTTTCTTTATTCTGGAAATACTCTTTGAATACATTAGTACTGGCCTCCAAGAGTTCCAGATTCATCAATTAAATAATATAAAAAGTATTAAGGTATATGCCTTTTATGGCAAGTAAGCAAAGTACCTCATATAGGTTTAAGAAAGTTATCAACAATGACTTGGAGTGGAGTGAAATATATAACAATTGTTAATTTACAATTCATACACCGTATAATTCAGATGCTGATGATAACCATAAA